TTATTCACAGAAAAACATATTGATATTATGAAATATCTTACATTTATTTATATTTTTTGCATTTCAATTTTAAAATATACACTACAAAAAATTGGTATATTCTAATAGAAAATCCTACGCTAATAGATTTCAATAGAAATTCTAACGGATATTCCAATGATATAATTTCGTTGGAAAGATTCCAACGAAAATATTCCGTTGAAATAAGTTTTCCAATAAAATTTTAGATGGAATTTGATGATTCCTTCGACTTTTTAACATAGGAATTTCTGTTGAAGTATGCAATTTCCGTTGAAATTTTATTTTTATTCCCATTGGAATCATCAAAATCCAACGGAAATTCCAATAAAAAACTCATTCCAACCAAATATTTTTGTTAGAATTTTCGCTGGAATCCATGAAAATTTATATTTCCATTAAAAATTTTCTGTTGGAATTTCATAATTCTTTTGTAGTGATATTTATATGGTGAAAAATTATGTTTGTATGTTAACAACAACCATATTGAATAAATAAATATCTGGTTATGTATTGAGAAAATGACGAAGTATCTAATTAACATGGGTGAATGATGTTTAAACTTAGGCAAACAAAGTAGTTAAACCATATAAAACGTGCTACTTTGGAGTTCTGGACTCATTTAGGTCATCTTCAACCCTTATCTCTACTCTAGCGCAGACTTTACTCTACTGTAGAGTATAGTTGAACATTCATCTCCAGCCATTATCTCTACATTTTACTCTACATCCAATATATTATTTTTTATTTCAAATAAATTGGTATATATATATATATAATATTTAATCTTATATAAAATGTTAATTACTCAAAAAATAAAAATGTATTTTATTTTTAGCATAAAAAATACATTTAGTAGTACATATTATACAAAAATTTACCAATAATAATACATAAAAAGACAAAAAAAAACAAGAAAAAAATATGTAGCGTTGAGCTACAGTGTTGCGCCACATATGACGCAAAACTATTCACATCTTATTTCTGGCACAGAAGTCTGGCGTTACATTGGAGAGCATCTTCACACAACTCCAGCGCAAGAAGCCTAATCCGGCACTGTGCTGGAGAAGCTCTTAAACTGTTTTTTTTTTTTA